AGAGTTGTAAAGTGTACTTTACAGATACATGTTACTTTGTGTTTGCCTAATATAAACAATCCTTAGTCCACTAAACATGGATAAAGCAGAATGCCCTTTGATTATTTTCTATCTTCAGGAGAAAAAAAAACTATACATATGGTAAAATATATTATGAAAACATTGTTTATTTGATTTTAAACAGCAAACTCAGGAATATAATTATATCAAACATATGACAGGTATATGGAAGCAGCATTCAAATTATGAGCTTAATTCTATTCTCATCAAACATAGAACCTGCTGCTGTAGAAACCTTGAATTAATGAAATTTTAATGTTTCTCATGTCAGCATTTTACCATTTTACTGCTGCCTCAGCTACCATGTGAAATAACCTGTTTGCATAATTCAGTTTGTAGAACAAAGAGTAAAAAATAAATCATCAAATTTACTTAACTGTAATTTTTAAGCAGCTGATGCTTGGTGGTTCACTCTGCACATCCAAGTCTGATATTCAGGATTGCACTGGTGAAAGATTTAGATTACATTGATGATTTTCTTGTGATACATAATATTAGCTACATTCCCCTATTATCCAGAAATTCCCCTATCCGATCTAAACCTTGGTTAATCAGAAATTCAAAATCTCTGTTTACATGGAAACTAAATGCAATGATTTGATCATGACATGTACCAAGTGTTTCATCTGGTTGGATCATTTAAGTGTGCGCGGAACTGTTTAATTTATGAGAAAATATCATGCTGGCATTGCTTTTGCGCAGTGAGGATTACTTTTACTCCAAAGATCAGAATGGGGGTGTAAATGGACGCCAGTAGGAATGGTGTTCAGCAAAAATCACCTCTATTTTGCGTAATGAAGGTTATCTCCTATGGGATCAAATCAGGTCAGTATCTTTAATCTTAATGTTCACGCGTTCGTGAAACATTTCTGATTTGATCAGGCCTTCAATCCAATTATTTGTATCCATGCAAACACAGCTACCGTCTTCATCATAGATCTGCACAGCTTAATTAAGAAAACTCAAAATACTCTGATTTAAGGAGTTTAAGTGAGCGTTTTTAAAACTCACTATTATTTTCCAAGTTGCAGCAGACTCTAGCCAAAAAAAGAGGCCTCCTTATACAATACCATATGGGCCTGGGAAAATGTTTTACATGTAGTCATTATAGGAGTTGCAATCAAGCTCCAAACTAGTCACCAAATGTTAGCAGTAAAATAACACATTTACTAAAGATCTTTTCCACTGGTTTAGCAGTTTGAAAAGGTATCATTCTTGACAGAATTTCAGGATTACTAAATAGTTTCACATCCCGCTGAGAATATTGCATGAGATAATAGCAACATCGAAACACATAACGAAGAGAAAATGTGCTGCAGCGTTGGAATATTTGTCTCGCCTGTCAAGTTTTGTTCTTGTGCTTAAGATGTGTTTAGCCAAAACATGATGTTTAATCTCCTCTTCTTCTGCCTTAAGACCTTAAATGTTTATCTTTGTTGCATTTTTTTAAACCTCACTCCCTCTTAGGATAACTTGTATCCTCAATTTTTCAATCAAATCAGCAGAGTTGGGGATTTTAAATGATTTGTGATGTTTTGTTGTCTAAATAGTATGTTTTTCAACATATTTCTTTGTTAAAATGCAAACTCAGTTGCTGAGGAGCACAAATGTCTGATTCTAATGCATTTATGAACATAGCATCACTGCTTGCACAGACAGATTGTAAAGAGAACAGTTTAGACACAGAGGCTCTGTTGGGGAACATGATGTAGTACACTAATTAGCGACTGCATGACTTGTGCCTTCTCTTTTGTTTTGTACTCGACAGCATCGCAGTTCAGCGGCTGGCAAATGAATCACGCTTCATTCTCTATGAATTCTGGGAGCACAACAACGTGTGGAAGAAGTGAGTATCTTAATGTGTGCATGGACCATGTGTGTCCGAGTTAACACACTCAGGATCATTTCATATTAACTCTTCATTATCTCTTTCATTCTGTGTGGACCCATTATCAAGTTCCCATTATGAGGGTTTGGTTAATGCTTGAACTTTAATGAACCTGATGGTGAAAGAAACTCAGAGAGTGGAAACATGCACCCGAGGAATTAAAAGTGAAATACTTCTCTTCCCTATCTTTTTATTGTTCTACCTTGGGGTCTTTTTTAACAGTGCCCTCCACATTTACTGTATAAATATGATTAACAATGTATTTTTTTTTATAAATTTTCACTCATATTTAGTTTCAGTTAAAATATTCCCTGTACATTTTAAAACAATGCTATATTTGTGGAGTACATTTATTAAAGATGGTAAAATAAAAAATTCAATGTAACTTAATATCAGCAATGATGGTGAAGATGTTCAAAAAGCCTTACACTAATTTCACCTTTTAGTCCATGAGCACAATTTCACTCTTAAAATTTGGTTTATATTATATTTTTTATTTATATTCTTATAACAATGACACGCAAATAAGCCAGCTATGGAATATTAAGAAAACTATTTAACATGTGTGTGACATTGTGCTGCACTTTATACATAAATATAAAGAACTTTACAATTCTTGCGAACATGATAGTCTTCAAACCCATTGATGTTGATATGGGTGACAATGTTCCCAAAGCCCTTGGCATCTGTTTTTGACCCTGTCCAAAGCATTGTTTTTATTGAATGTCTTATTTTAAAATGTTTTCATTTTATGGTGTAACAAAGGAACTAGGGGAAAAATATTATTTCTTTATTTTGTGACACATACAGCATATTAATCTCATTGCACCCCACCACTAGTTAGAACTGAAGAAGCCTCTTGGATGAGAGAGGAAATGTCTTGTAGAAAACTTCATGTCCAGTTGCAAACTGAACTTTTCAACCCTGTGAATAAAAACCTAATTTATTTTGTTTAAACCGACAACTTAATATGTTTTATTATTCAGTTATTAAAATAATCTTATTCAAATGAAGTTAATGCATAGAAATAAATTAAATAGACTCCTTTTAATTACATCTCCTTGATCCCTGGTCAGCCTCAGCATATGGTGGCCCAACCTGAGCTTGAATTAGATGGAGGTTTCTTCCTGTTAAAGGGGAGTTTTTCCTCTCCACTGTCGCCACATGCATGCTTGGTGTGAGGGATTGCTGAAGAGGCAATGATTTGATGCAATCAGCTGGTTTTCCTTAAATAGAAATCTCATAACCATTCTGATTGTATGATGTGGTTGAACTGTCTCTGTAGATTGCCTTGAGATGACGTGTGATGAATTGGTGCTATGTAAATAAACTGAATGAAACAGAATTTAACAGGCTCATTATAGCCACTGTCTTTCATTTAAACCCTGCTGATTTCTGTCTTTGATCGGTTCATCCTCCTGTCCAATAAAACTAAAACCTCCTAATCAAGGTTTAATTGTTAAACCAGGAAGATTTATACTGCTGAAAAATGCTTATAATAAAGCGTGTTATATGAGGAAACAGAGAAGCTTTGACAAACGAATGACTCATTATACACACACAGCAGTCATCTGTTTATACCCTACAATCTATTCTCTGTTTTATAGCCACCTACAGACTAACTACAGTAAAACCTTTCAGAGGGCAAACGTAGACTTCCTGGAAACTCCCGAGTCCACCACCACCATGCTTGTTCCTGGTAAGTCAACACACACATCCCTCATGCCTGCAGAACTTTCTAAAAGCACTAAGCTGTAATAACAGTTTCCAAAATGCTCCTGTTATTTGGTGCAGCATGCTTTGCTCAGGATTTACTGGACAATAACATATGACTGTGTGAGAAATCTACATTTTCTAAGAGGTTTATCATTTGTGTCTTACCTGCAGCTTCTTGGTGGGTCCTCAACAATAACTGAAAGCTTCACAGCACCAAGCAACATCATCACTGATGGGTGTGAGGCACAAACAGACACCTGTCATCACATCGCCATCCCACAGAAACACCTCACGCTCCTTAAAGCAGCAGTACTTGTGACCCATGGTGATTTCTATATATGACTTTCCATGTTCCTACAGAGTTCAGTGGTAGCTCCAGTAGCTCACGTTTGTGTGTATAAAAAGTTCCTTAACCCCAAAGGCTATGAGCCCATCAGTAACCAATCTGGGGTCTGAATTGTCACCTGGATCGTATTGTGTTTGTTTCTTAGATGTCTTTTTGAGGACATTGGACCAGTTATTTCTGGTTGTAGGATAATATTTTATAATTAGGTTTAGCTTGAATAAGACTTTGAGTTGTTCTGATTAACATTGTTGTTTTCATTATATGATTGCCCTGATTAAAATCAAACCTTGAATGAATGTGAAAGAGAAATTACATGAAGCACTTAGAAAGACATTGTGTCAATTGTAGCAGCTCCAGGAAGCTCATTAAACCATATTTCTGTAGTTTCTATCTTTAGTGTGTTGAACTGAGACAAGGACTAAAATAAAGATGATATTGTTGTGTATGCTGTTTACATTCTTTGGGGTTTTGTTTTATGCTGCACCTACAACACAAGGTTTTTTTTCTCACATTTAAAGTTTAATTGCTTTTAAATAATATTTCATTTGTTTATCTTTTCAGGATCTTATATGATGTATGCTTTACAATTGTAACAAACAGTCTTGATTTCCTTAAACCACGTTGATCGAGTCAATATTACTACTACTTTACTCAGTGTACTGCATACACCTGAATTTTTTTTCCAATCGTAGAAAGAGGCATGAATTTGTATTCAGCCTTTCACTGAACTTTCATCAGGTTCAGGGTATATCTTTTCCAGCCTATTGGCTAATTCCTCTGTGCTAAATAAACAGAGGTGGGGAGTTGAGTCATATGAGTGGGATTTGAGTTAAACACAAGTCATTAATTTTGTTACTTTCGACTTGATTTAAAAAAAAAAACTCAAATATGTTTGACTTGAATTAGACCCAAACCTATTATCCAGATATTTGGCCAAAATCTAAAGTTTAAAACACTTGTTTGTATAAGAAGGGTGCGTTATTAATCAGTATCTTTCAACATGTGGACATATGTGCGTATAAGTTGCAGCACAACCACTCAAATTAACTAGATTAAAAAAAAAAGATATAAGTATGCTTCCAAGTGTAACTGTTTTGGGGTAAATAATCTTTAAAGCACTCAACAAAAAATGAGATGCGATATGCAACACATGCAAGAAGAAAATGACAGGCAGAGACCGAAACAGCTGAAGTTGCATCATTAAGGGTGGGTGGTACTTTTGTTTTGTGATGATCAGATTGCTGATTGTAGCAAATTTCTTCCCATTAGCAAAAGTTCAGTTGTTTTACTTTCAACACATTAAGATAAATATGGATTATATTTAACATATAATTGAACTTAGTTTAAAAAAACAACTCCTGAAATGACTTGAAAGTTTAAAGTTTGAGCCTTGGGATTTGACTTAAGACTTGTTTTTGCCTTGATTGACTTTGATGAGATTTGAGAATAAACCATGAGGCTAACTTGGTCCTACCACTGCAAATAACTTAAACTAATTTGAATAAGATAGAGAATCTTTGTGAATGTCTATTTTCAGGTCTTGTCATCAATTTGTAATGATGTGCACTTTGATTAGGACAGTACCTCATGAATGTTCTCTGATCCAAACAAACATAACACAGAAGGTAAACTTTGGTCAGTCTGAAGTCTTATCTCTCACATCTACTCAGGTTTTACCCTCTCTGTCTTCCTATTTACTCTGATTGATTAACCTGTTCCTGCTGACAAGAAGCATCCCCACAGCATAATGCAGCCACCACCATGTGGTGGTCTGCGGGGCATCCTTGATAGCTCTACAGCTTTAATTTCTTACATCAGTAATTTTGTTTGGTATACACTCTTTGTATACAAAATGACAATGAAAGTCTGCAAATATCCGGTCTGTAAAATACATCAAACTCCTCCATCCTTCTCTTTCCCCTCACTCTGCCTCCATATTTGCCCCCAGTCTTGTAACTTCCTGTACTAACTATTGCAGCTCCCTTTTCTTTGGCCTCCCACAAACAATATCAATCTTCAGCTGGTCCACAACTCAGCTGCTTGAATTGTTATGGGAACATCTTCATTCATTGTTTTAGAGAACGTCGCTGGCTCCCACTCAAATTCAGATTTCAATTCAAAATTGTTTTGTTCATACTCAAGGTCATCAACCTCACTCTCCCCTTACTCATCTGATTTCCTTCATGTCACCTCCTCCTAATGCTCTCTCCAATCTTCTTCAATCGATCTCTCTGTTCACTTTTGTTTTTGCCTCTTTACCTCTGGGAGTAGTTTACTCTCACTGTTCTTCCAGACTCTGGAACTCTCTCCCGTCAAACATTAATATTGACACTCTTTAACTGTTTAAATCCAGATTAAAAAAACACTTTACAGTCTTCAAGACTGTCCATTCTCTGTTATTTAAATTTTTATTGCTGTGTGATGCAATTATCTTTGTTTTAATCTTCATTTTAGAGGCTTGAGGGGTTTTTGAAGAGCAAAAAGTTGCATTTTTTTGTATGATCTAAACAAAGGACCTCAATCTATATGCTATATTTTCCTTAACTGGCTTTTAGCAAATTTCAAATGGGATTTCTATATTTGGATCACCTTCAAGGAAACTGGTTTCTCTAGTACAAGACTAATAGTTATCCCAACCACAGATCCTCTCACCTGACCTGTTTATCTTTATAAACCTCTAACATCAATCTTTCAATAACACTCTCTTTGCCACTCCTTTCAGTTCTTTTTGGTTTTGGTAAGTCTTAAGTTGTGCCATACTGCCATTCAGAAAGTCAACTCAACAGTCGAAAAGATACTTTAACTTCATCCCTGTCTTGTCTGGATTTTCCTTAGTACTGTTTTAACTAAATTGTTTAATTCTGAAGGATATTTGTTGCAAATGATTTTACTTAGGATAACTATAGTCTCAGCAGACAGTTGGCAGGATTTTGAAATCCAATCATAGTTGATCAGGGTTAAGGCATTGTAGTAATTTTTCTGAAGATTTATGTCAGTAATATTAGAAAACAGCTCCACTGTTTGGAAATTCAGCAGTACTGCAATTTTTGAAGGGGGGCTGCATTTTATTGACATAATGAGGCCACTTCTCACAGATGTTTCCCTTCACACTAGTTAAACTTTTATCTAAGTTGCCAAAATAAAAAGTAGATTTAAAGATTTAAAGGATCTTCTACCTGCCACAGGCCATGTCTTATACAAGATCAGTCTAGTAGTAAGAAAATCTAGTTATGACAGTACCATTGGGATTTAATGTAGGGAAACGGCAGGTTATTTTTATACAGTCAATGTGAAAGTTAATGTTTCATCCTTATTTAAAGTGTTCCTTTTTTATCTCCATCTCAAAAGTCCTGCTCTTTAGTGTAACCCTATATTATAATCATTACAATATTGGTTTTTCATTTCTGCTGTTCCTTACAGCTAATTTACTGTATTTACTGTAAAATATTTCACTTTTAATTAAACAACATATTTAAATATTTTAGTTAAATATGTTGTTGTTTATGAGTTAATTACAGAATCAGTTGTCAGGGTTATCTTGTGTTTACTGCATGAATATGTGGTCCCATGAAGATGGTAGCTAAATGAGAGCAATTAGTCGGTAAGTGAGCCCTCTGCTGGTGAAATTGAGTAGTGGACAGTGTATGAAATTAGCAAAAGAAGAAAGAAGAGTAAGTCTAAAGTTTTTTTAAGTTTATTAATGAAACAAAAGAAAAATTGAGAAAAAAAACTGTAAAGGTGATTAAATTTATAAAGTAAACCCAGCGTTGACATGGTCATACTTTTTTTAAGCAGAGACTGGGAAGCCGGTCAGAGTTAATGTAAGGCTTGATTGAGAAATCTGTGGAGGAGAAACCTATGAAGGGCTGGAAAAGACTTCAGGTTCACCTACTGCAGGATAAAAACCTACTTTAAATTAGAAGTGAAATGATATTGAGAAACACCAACACAAAAAATGTAAAAAAAAATGTAAAAATCTAGGAATCCTTGGCACTAAAATTACAGCCGTTCCATCTTTTTTTTCCCCCAATCTGAGAGGATATTCTTTGGGGTTTAGGTTTGTTTTTAATAAACAATAAAAAATTCTGCTGTGATTTCAACCCGTTTTATAATTCTTTTTCTTTTTGGCTTTGTGCTTTCACTGCAGCAGATACAAAAATCAAGGATTACACTGCTGTGCACCTCATCTATATAATTCAACAAAAAATAAACACACATTTTAGACTGAAATCCTAATCCTAGTCAAAAAAAAATACACAATGAAGTAGATAGTTTTCACATTTTATTGATAAATTATTTGTTTTTAAAAAGACTCATGAACCATCTTTTCCTTCCACCCAACTTTACTCACTCTTACTGAAATCAGGCTATGTACAAAGTATTTTCTGTTTTTTGTTTTTTTTACCTACTTCATCATCAGTATCACATTCAAAACAAGGTTCAAACTTTGCCCGCTGCTGGAGATAAAGAGACGGGATATAGCACAAAGTTCAATGGAGGTCAGAGAGCAGCGATCTAAGCAGATGAAGGAGGGTTTACATTCTAACACACGCAGAAAAAACAGGAATCACAGCCATGATCCCATCTGAAATGGAGCAGGACACCACTTCAGCAACAAGATATAGGCAACATGCACAATTGAGCCACACCATGTTTTATGGGATCACTTTAAGAATCATAAAGCAGATAACCAGATTGTTATGAAAACAACCAGAAAGGGGTATTGCTCTTTTAAAAGCTGCAGGCACAGAACAGAAAAAATGTGTTAATAAAAATGTATTTATCTTCAAGACTATTACTGTGCAGCAAAGTTGGCACGCATGGGTATATAATGACAATCATCTAAAAAAAATCTGCATTAAAATAATAGAATACTATGTCAGAGTGGTTGTAATAGAGTATGAGTGTGCAACTCTCAGTAGCTGGATTTTAACTAGCAGCAAAACTATTTTATTTGCATAAAATATCAGTGCAAATGGGAGGGAGGTTGTCTCATTTGAATCTGATCATCAAACTGAAATTAGTGCCAGCTACTGTAGTGCTGAAAAAGAGAATGATCTAAAGTTTCTAAATTCCAATAGAGTTGTCAAATAACTTGGAAAAAGAGGGTTTGCACCAAACATCTATCCAATCATCTGAAGGAAATAATTCAATCTTTACAAGTTTCTGATTCTTGGTTCTTTGTAGGACATTGTCAGGATTTAAACATTTACCGGATTTAGACAGACGGCAGGGTTAAAAACCTTCCAAGCGTAAATCACAATACAAATCCCCCACTTTGTTTCTCCAAGCAAACACTTCTCCTCACACTCTATGCTTCTAAACTCAACCTGACTGCTTTAAAATTTTAAGATGTGCGGGGAGCATAACAACAAAACAGGACTTTGCACTTGGGGCCACCCTCAGCTTCGTGGGGTTATTCT